CGGCGCAGGCGCCGGGCGCCGCCGCAGCGCCGGCGGCCTCCGCGCCATCCTACCCACCAGCCCCCTCTTTCCAGCCGCCCCTGCCCCAGAGCGCGCCGCCGTCCTACCAGCCGGCGCAGCAGCAGCCCCCGCCGCTGCCGCAGGGCGGCTACCCCGGGCCGCCGCTGCCGCCGGAGCCGGCGCCGCCGCTGCCGCCCAGCGACGAGCTGTACGACCCGGTAGCAGCCGCTCAGGCGATCGCCGCGCGGCTGCGGGCGCAGCATGAGGGGCGGCAGCAGGGCGGGCAGGCGGCGCAGCAGCCGTGGCAGCAGCAGCAGCAATCGCAACAGCATTACCAGCCGTGGCAGCGGTAGCTGCTGTGTTTGCGGCCTGCGGCCGCATTAGTGAGCCTGCTGGAGCGTAATTGGATAGGGCGAGCGTGTCCGGTCAAACAAGAAGCCGTCCTTGCTGTCTGCGGCATCGGGCGCCTTCCGGTTCATCTGGGCTGTTTGTGCGTTTGCTGTGCAGCAATCTGCGAGAGCAGTGCGGAAAGCACTGACAATGTCGGAACCGAGTGATTACAAAGTGGGACACACCGTCGAGCAAGCCTGGGCGTGCACACACTTTGGTGGTGATGGGAGCAGCCGGTTGTGGCAGGGGTACAGGAGTAGCCGTGCCGCGGCAGAACCAGCTTGGGAAGCCCTGCGGCGTGCTCTTTGCAATGTGTGCGGCCGCACAGGGCCTGGATCAAACGTAAAATTCCCACCACCGTTGCAAGAGCAGCAACACAGCCAGCGCAGCTGTCAGGACTGGTTGGCTGTCAAAACAGCAGCAAAATTCTGAGCTGTGCAGTAGAACATCAACTGAGGTCTGGTCGCAAAGCACAGCGACGTCTGGTCAAATTTGGTCAATGCATCCTCGACACGATGCCGTTGAGAGGCAGCTCCGCAGCGACCCATGAGCGATGCTGTTGCAAGCGCCATGACGTGCAGCACTCAGCTCCCTCGCCAATCCAGCCAGCAGCGGGATTCTCCCTACTTGCCCAGCAACCTGCGTGGCAGGGCCCATCAGCAGGCAGTCGATTTGGCTTTGGCAGGCTCGGAACACGTACATCAGCATTGATCCCGCTGCCAGTCTGCCCCCCAAGTCCCTGTGCCCCTCTTGCCCCGCAACTACCCCCATCTCTACATTTCCTGCCGAGCAACCGCGCTAAAGCCCAACTCCTCCCACAGTACCCTTGGACCGCCAGAGCGACCACACGCCCTCGCCCCAGCTCCCCCGCCCCACTTTTTGATCTGCATCCTGTAGGAGCTGATCTGAGATCTCAGCCCGTCCAGCCGCTCCTCCAGGTACTCCTTGCGCTGCCGCTGCCGCAGCGTGCGGCCGCCGCCCAGCGGCATGCGCGACAGCTCGCTCTCCAGCTCGTCCCGCTCCTGGCAGGCGCGCAGCAGGCCGTCCTCCGCGCCCTTGGTGCGCGCCATGATCTGCGGGCGGGCGCCGACGTTTGACCGCGTTTGAAAAGTGACGTCAGCACGGGCGCGCAGGCGGCCGTCATTGCGGGAGTGGGGTCTAAGCGAGTGCGAGTGTGTTGATGACGAGAATGGGAGCTTGCGTCCCTGGGCCGGCTTGCGTGCGAAACGGGGGCCAGCTTGGCAGATGTCAGAGGTGAGCAGACGGCCGACGAGGCGCCGCGCGTGTGGCATCAGCCGAAGCCTTTCATGCGCGGATAGCTCTGACCGGCTTTTGCGCCGCTCGCTTTATTGTTGTGCCGATTGGCAAGCAAAACGCCGGCACACGGCGCGCAGCCGAGGCACGCCCCGCTTTGCCCCGGCGCCCCAGCCGGCCGCTCACATCTTGAACGGACATCTCAGTCCCAAACGGCGCGCCCTCCCGGAACAGCCCGCCGTCCCCCGCGCCCGGCGTGGGCGGCCCTGCGGCTCCGGCGCCGCCACCAAGCCCCCCGCCGGGCGCCGGGCCGGGGCTGCCGGGGTAAGGGACGCGGTGCGGCGAGCCGCCCGGGGCAGGCGGCACGACGGACACAGCAAACGGCGGCGCCGTCGGGCCCGTCGCGCCGCGACTTGCAGGCGGCACGCCGACCTGCTGCTGCTGCTGCTGCTGACCCGGCCAGCCGGCGCCGGGCGACATGGCCGCCGCCGTCCCAATGCGGCTCCCGGCCTCCGCCTCGCCCCACGACCGCCGCTGCCACTGCTGCTGCTGACTCAGCCCCGACCTCACGCCGGCCGCCGCCCGGTCCTCCTGCTGCTGCTGCTGCTGCTGCTGCTGCTGCGTCGTCTGCTGCTGCGCCGCCGCCGTTTTGAGCGCCCCGCCGGGCGAGGCCCCGCCCGCAGGCGCGGTGCGCGGCGGCGCCGCCGAGAACGTCACCGAGTAGGCGCCGCCAGCCCCGCCCCCGCCGCCTGCAGTCGCCCACGACGGCTCCGCCCCCAGCCCTTGCTGCTGCTGGCCCGCTTCCCGGAACACCGTGCTTGAGGAAAAGTTCACATCCAAAGGACCGCCGCCGTCAAACTGGCCGCCCGGCCCTAATCCTGGTGACTGGCCGTATTGGGGCTGCGGCCATTGGGAGTATCCGCCGCCATACTGGGGCGGCGAGTAAGCCTGCTGCTGCTGCGGCTGCGGCGGCGGAAGCGCGAGGTAGCCGCCCCACCCCGCCGACTGCGCCGTCGACGCGCGCAGCTGCGCGTGCTGCTGCTGCTGCAGCGCGTGCTGCTGCTGCTGCTGCGCGGCCGCGGCCGCGTTGGAAGCGGCCATGGCCGCCGCGCGCGCGCCGGCCGCCTCCGCCCGCGTGGAGTCCAGCTCGCGGCGCAGCATGCTGAGCTCCGCCTGGGCTGTGGCCAGGTGATGCTGCAGCTCCTGGCCGCGCGCCTCGAACGCGGCCCCGCGCTGCTGCGCCTCCTGCGGGGTGCCGCGGCGCGACGCGCCGCGGCGACGCGCCTCGGCTCAGCATGATGCTCTCTTGGAGAGGCAGCTCCAACATCATCAAGAACAGTGGACCGATGGGCGTGGCGCAGGCGCCGCGCTCTGGCTGTTCCTTGAGCGTGCGAGCAGGGAGCAAGGCATAGCATGACTAGCACAGCCCCCTCTGCGGCCTCAACCCACCCTGAGCTGCTGCGCCAGGCGCTCCGCCTCCAGATCACACGTAGCCAGCTTGCGCAGCGCCTCGTTCTAGAGTAGGTTTGAGAGTGGCGGCGGCGCTGTGGGGCGAAGGCCGCGGCCGTGCTGGGACAAGACACGGGTGGACCTTAGTCAAGACCCCGACGTCATCCAGTAGCTCCGGGCAAACCATCCGCTCCAGCAACCAATCGGCTGCAGGCCTCCCCACCCCCAAAGCCGCAGCTTGGTGAGCGCCAGACGGCGACCCGCGTGCGCCGCACCTCCGCCCCCCTCAGCCGCTCCCGCAGCTCGTTGCCCTCCACCCGCGCCCGCTCCAGCGCCTCCGTCGCGCCCTGCAGCTCCCGCCGCAGCGCCTGCGCCTCCAACTCTGCGCGCCGCGCGTCGTCCGCGTCCTGCAGCGACCTGCGGTTGGCTGCCGCCGGGTGGCAGCGCAGGTGGCGGCGGGGCGCGTTTTAGAGGACGCGTTGGCTCCGGCCGCACGCGTGGCAGAGCCGCCGCCGAAGGGCGCGGCCCTGGGGTTGGGCCGATCGCGCTCTTTGAGGTTGCTTCCCCTCAGCGCCTGCCGCCCACCTCGCAAAACCCAACCCCCGCTCACCCGTTTCAACCTCCTTCCTAAGCTCCGTCGCTGCACTCTTGAGCCCTGCCACCTCGGCCTCCAGCAGCGCCCGCACCCGCTCCGCCTCCGCCGCCGCGTCCGCCGCGCGCCGCGCCTCGGCGCCCCGCGCCTCCGCCTGCCGCAGCGCCACGTCCAGCGCGGGCTCGCTCGCGCGCAGCTTCTCCCGCAGGTCAAGAAGCTGCCCCTCCAGCTCCCGCTTGGCTGCTTCGAGGGCGCGGACGGCGGCGTCGAGGGCCGCTGCTTGCGCCTGGAGATCGGCATGGGCGGCGCCCGTGGCAACCAGGCGGTCCTGCAGCTCCGCATTTACGTCCTCCAGGCGCTATGCAGGGCACGGCCAGGGGAAAGGGGGGGGGGCAGCAGGCGTGAGGGCCTGCGGCAGCTGGGGAGAAGGTTCTCCTGGTGCCCGGGCGGTTCGTGCGGGCACCACTCTGCCACGAAGCTTGGAAAGCGGTGGCCGCGCCGCGACCACCGGTGAGGGACACATGGTGAGGCACACGCGCACCGCTCAGAGCGCACGTGCCTCTGCCAAGCCAGCAAGCCCCAGGTTCCCCTCCTCGCTTCTACGTGCGAGGCCCCGGGCCACCCGTCCCCCACTCCAGCCCCGTCTGGCTGAGCCGCACCTGGATGTGCAGCAGCGTGCCGTCACGTGGGTCGGGCGCCGGCGGTAAATCCCAGGACGAGTAGGCCGCCCCTGGCCCCGGGCTGCCGGCCGGATCGTGGCTGTGGGCAAGGTGATGAGGTTGCTGCAGCTGATGCTGCTGCAGCTGTGACCCTGAAGTGGTCTGACCGCCCAGCTCCCACCGGCCAACGCCTGCAACGCTTCGGCCGCTGGTGACGCCCGCGAGGCTGTCGACGCGCCCCGAGCGGGGGACAAAGGTGCTGCCGCCTTGGCCGCCACTGGGGAGTTGCTGCTCCTGCGGCTGGTGTTGCTGCCGCTGCTGCGGCTGCTCCTGAGCCTGCTGGTACGAGAGGACGTAGTGCGTCACTCTCGTGCGTGGAGATCCTGGTAGGGAGCTGCCCTCCTTGACCCGCGGCAGCGCAGAATGCCAGTCGCCACCCCCGCCGCTGCCGCCGCTGCTGGCCCCATGCGGCCCCTGCGATGGCCCGGCTGCAGGACCAGGATCGGTGGCCGAAAGGTTTGGGGTTGAGATCTGTGCCCGCAGCTGCGGCTGCAGCTGCTGCTGGTGGTGGTGTGGCGGGGTCGTGCCCAGGGCGGCCCCTGGGCCGACGCCTAGCAGGGAAGCCAGGCCGATGATAGCCGGGTGCGACTGCTGCTGTTGCTGTTGCTGCTGCTGCTGCTGGTGATTGGGTGCCCAATCGAGCTGCTCATGCAACGGCCCACTACGGGGCACGGGTGTTCCCGCCTGCTTGCGCGGCGCGAGGGAGGGGACGCCATGTGGGTGGTGCTGCGGCGCTCCGCTGCTACCCCGGCGCGCAGTCGAGGGTGGGTGCTCCGCGTGCTGCTGCTGCGCCAGCTGCGTGAGCTGCAGGTCCTGCAGCAGAGCCTCTGTCGCGGTGTCAGTCCTGAGGATACCCAGCGCGACTGGGCCGCTGCTGGACGGGGGCCGGCGGGGTGGACGCAGGCGCGCGTTGTTGAGCTGCATGGCACCAGCTACGAAAAACCTTCAGGGGCAGCTGCGGCCGTCATCACGTGCCTGCTGGTCCGTAAGCGCACCTGGATGGAGGCCCAAGCAGCGGTTCTTCCCCCGCATTGAAGAACTGGGATGTCTGAGCCAACAGCCCTTCCGTCTGGGTGTGGAGGGACGACATGTTGTGATCTTGCTCGCGCCTTGAATGTCCATATGCACCGTGTATTTCTGATGTTCATTGAACGTGCCATGCGGAGCCTCACCGGTGGAGTTATGTCGTAGTGCTGTGCCCAGTGCCGGTCGCACCCTTGCGGGTTCTCGAGCCACCACACCCATACGTTGCTCCAATTGGCGGCTTTAGTTAGCTTTGAGGTTCCTCTTAGCGGTACAACGTCAGCAAACACCATCTATCGGCTGACCCCCTGAACCAAAAACGCTCCATGATGAAGCCCGCACGGAGTACAGTAGTTGTCCTGCAGACAGACTCGTGAAAGTTGTTTATATCAGGAGATCAGCACCTGGGGAGCACTGCTTGAGCGGTCCTCGGATCGAGCGAGGGACTCCGGCAAAATGAGCACCAGCACAGCAAGCAAGACCTCCCGAGCCGCGTCCGCCCTGGCGGTGGGTACCGTCTCGAATATGCAACGCAGATAGCATGCGTCAGCCGGCCCAGCCTTGGTGCCGAGTGCGCAACCGGCGCGCGCTGATGCCGCTGCAGCGCACATCCCACATGGCATCTCATCGCGACCGCGCAGAGCGGCGTCGGCGGCGTGGTGCTCGGCGGGACGGCCATCTTCAGCGCCATGAACGGCTTTACGCCGCACATGGCGGGCTCTATCGACATCATGGTAGTCGAGCAGCCGGATGGCACGCTGAAGTGCTCTCCATTTTACGGTGCGGCGCAGCACGGCATGCCCACCCCCGCGCACGGTTCCGGCAGTGGACGAGTGCGGCCCATACACGCAGCAGCCGGTGCTGCGCTGGTTGCAGCAGCAGCCTGTGGCGCCTCAGCGCAGCGTGCAGGCGTTAGCACGACCACGGCGGTTGCACAGCCCACGCGTTCGCCTGACTGGCGCCCGTGGCCACCATACTGCCTGTTTCGCAGTGCGCTTTGGCAAGTACACTCCCATGCGCGCCAAGGACAAGGTGGTGCGCATTAGCGTCAATGGTGAGTGGCGGCTGCTACCCACGGGCACAGGTCACCGGTGGCTTGCTGCGGCACCCGGCATGATTTGGGCATGCATGTTCTCCTTCACCCTCCGCCCCGCAATGGGTATCGAGGACTGCGCGCACCGCTCGCGCGCGCCGCGCACGCTGCAGGCGAGGAGGCGCCCTTCAGCATGCACCTGGGGGCTTACGGCCAGGCCTACTTTGCGGCCGAGACGACAGAGATTGTCAGCGGTGAGAGGGCACCCTTACAGGCAACCCAGCCCAATCCCCGCTGCAAGTGTCGCCTGAGCTCTGTTGCCGCACGTCCCCCATGAGCCACCTCTGGTTGGGGCCGCCCCTGCTGGTTGTGCGACGGCTCCGCTCAGCATGCCTCGCACGCAAGCGCAGGGCCCCCGGCAGTGTGCTCCACCCTGCATCGCCAAACTCCCACCCACACATCTCTGCCCCGCCGTTCGTAATGAATTTTATGACCAGACGCCAGCGACGAGGACGACATGCTGTCAGGCATGATGTCGCCGCCCAGCGGTTACTCATCGGCAGATGAAGGGGCGCCTTATGCGAATGAGGAGATCATGTCGGCGGTCAGGGAGGAGGCCGAGCGCCGCAAGCGCGAGGGCACAGCGGGCGCCGCCGCGTTGCGGCAGGCCGCGGACGCGGAGCGGGAGGGTGCAGCAGGGGCTGAGCGGGTGCAAGAGCAGCAGCCGCAGGCTGGCGAGGCGTCAACATCTCAGCAGCAGCAGCAGCAACAGCAGCAGAGGCAGCGGCAGCAGCAGCGGCACCCGACCAGCCGTCTGGCGGTCACGAGTGCCGAGCCTGTGGGCGCCAGCGGCGAGGAGAGCAGCTCAGAGCTCTCGGAAAGCTCGGATGACGCCGCATCCTCTGGCCCTCCCGTGCCGGCCCCCGCCGCCACCCTGCCCCCGCTCCCGCCCACTTCACCCCTCCAAGTGCGCCGCCGCTCCGCCGGCGGCGGCGGCACGGGCGGCGCCGCGGCGGCGGCGCTCGAGGCGGCGGCGGCCGCGTCGAGCGCCGCGAAGGCCAGCACGCTCGCGGCGCCGAACGCGGGGCCGCTGGAAGACCTACTGCTGGATAGTAAGTTTTCTGTAGCTGCCACGGATTCGGTAGACCTTCTGGAGGCGCGCGCCGCGGAGCGCGCTGCGCCAGGCCCGGAGCGCGCGCAGCACGCGTGGGCTGTCGCGCGGCGCGCGCCGGCAGCAGCGGGCGGGCTGGACGCGCCGGGGGCGCCGGCGGGGGATGGCAGGCCCGCTGCAGGGGCGTCGCCTGCCGTCGGCATCCCTGCGTCAAACGGGCAAGAGCTTGACCGAGAGAGTGTGGGTCCTGCTGATTCCTCAGCGCAAAAAGCCGCGGGCGGGCTGCCGCCGCGGCCGCAGCAGCACAGACCACCGGCCGCGGCCAGCGCAGCGCCCTTGGCGGCGGTGTCCGAGGGCGAAAGCGCCGCGGCAGCAGAGGATGCTGCTGTGCTGGTTGAGTCGCTCGAGGTTGGCGCTGCAAGTGCAAAGCTGGCCGCTGAGGCGGCAGATGGCGCCCCAGCAGCTGCGGATCAGCGGCCCCAGCAGGAGCAGGAGCAGGAGCAGGAGCAGGAGCAGCAGGAGGAGGATGCTGGGCCCATCCTTGGTGGGAGCTCCAGCGAGGAGGAGGGGGAGGAAGTGACGTCACCGCCGTCTCCCGCGCAGAACGCTAAGCCCCCGCCGGGCCTGCTGTCTGCCAGCATCAGCAAGGCGCGCGACGCCACAGGCGCGTCCTCGGCGGCGCCCGCACCCGCACCCGCGGCCGCGCCGCCGGCCGCGTCTTCGCCGGTGCCCATCGCGGGTGCGGCCGCCGCAAACGGCGACGCCGCCGCGCCGCTGGGGGCGTCGCCGGCCGACGCGGGATACCTGGCAGACAGCGAGGGCCCGCACGGCGGCGCCGGCTTGGCTGCGGCCTCGGGCACGGGCGCGCCGTCCGCCGCGGGCGCGGCCGTGCCTGCCGCCGCGTTCCACGGCGCGATGGCGCTGGGAGGGCAGGGCTTCCAGATGTCCCTCTGCGGCCACCTGCTGCGGCGTGGCACGCCCGCTGCAGAGGCTCTCCAGGTGTTCGAGGCGCACCGCATCACCGCGGCTGCGTGGGCGGCGGCCGGCGCGCGCCTGTGGCGCGAGGAGTCGCTGGTGGTGCGGGTGGGGGGCGCGCTGTACCCCTGGGCGGCGGCGGCGCCGGCGGTGATGGGGACTCTTGCGTTCGGCGGCCCCTGGCACGAGACGCTCGCGGGCGCGACCGCAGCGGGCGACGGCGACACGTGGCACCCGCTGCGCGTGCAGGAAGAAAGACAGGGGCCGGCCAAGAAGGTCGGGGACGGTGGCGACGCTGTGGCCGGCACGACGCCGCCGGGGGCCGGCAGCAGCTGGCGGCTGTGGCCGTTCTCGGGGTGGCGCGACGCGCCCAGCGCGGCAGCGGCTGCGGCGGCCGCTGCGGCAGGCAGGCCTGTGTCCGCGCTCGCGTCGGCGGTAGCCGCGGTCAAGGGCTCCGGCGGCGGCTCGGCGGCCGTCGGGGGCGGCAGCGCCGAC